CCGCCGGCTCCGCGCGCCGAAGGATACTTAAAGCCAGCATCTTGGACTGGTAGTCGAAGGCTACCACCTCGCCCTGCAGCCGCTGCTCCTGGCACGTCCGGCACGACACCTGGCTCCCGACGCTGAAGTACTCGCCCGGAGGAGCCGCCATCTTGGGAGAGCAGCCGCGGCCGGCGGCGGCGGCGGCAGCAGCGGGCGAAAGCCGGGCCCCCAGTCAGCGCCGCGACGCGACGCAGGCGTGCTGACGTCAGGCGCTGGGCGTGGCTACGTGGTGGGCGGGGCCTGCGGGCGGCAGAGAAGAGGGTGAGGGAAGGGGAAGTCAGCCAGGCCCTGAGCACCTGGACGGGTCAGTGCGGGTCAGGTCCTCGTAAGGCCCGGCCTCAAGGCCAGTTGACCTCCTTGAGGCCGGTTCCTGCGGGGCTGCAGAGCAGAAAAAGGAGGGCGCGGCATTCTCTACGTGTGCACACCTTGCACACAGTTTGGTGAATGAACTCCCCAAAGTAACGTGTTACCCCACTTTACCGCCGAGGAACCGGAGGTCCAGAGGACCTAGCGAAGCTCTCTCGCGCGTGATTACAACTGATTACAAAGTGGCTGTGGTAGGACATTGACTGTGGAGTGGGACGAACCGAAATCGGAGCCGTTGGTCTGCCGCTTACAGAGTGTGGAACCTTGAGCACAACCTGTTGTGCTCCTGTTCCTTCATCCGGATCTGCGTATCACTTACGGAGCATACAACCACCGCAATCATTACCTTCGTTTTACGGATGGAGAAATCAAGTCCAGCAAGGCGTGGTGGCCAGTGCCTATAATCCCAGTCCCAGCAGTCTGGGAGGCCGAGGCAGGAGGGTCACAAGTTGGAGCCCCCAAGGTGGGCAACTTAATGATTTAGCAAGACCTTGTCTTTTTTTTTTTTTTTTTTTTTTTGAGACAGGGTCTCACTATCCTTAAGCTCACTTTATATTCCAGGCTGGTCTCAAACTCACAACGATCCTCCTGCCTCAGCCTCCCCAGTCCTGGATTACAGGCATGCCCCACCCCTACCGGCTGAGACCCTGTCTTAAAACAAAGCTTTTTAAAAGGACTGGAGATGGAGGTAGCCCAGTGCAAAGGCCCTGGGTTCAACCCCCAGTGCCTCCCCCAAAACCAGTCTTAGACTAAACTTGCCTAGGGTCATACGAATGCTAGGGTCACAGTCTGCCTATTTCCGTAGAAAGTGCTGTTTACTGCCACCTGTACTGGACACCAGCACCTGCCTCATAAGGCATTGGCAGTTTCAGTGAGGCATTGTGTACCTGCACAGCACCCAGGAGGACGCAGTTAGTGCCAGTCCCCTGCTGAGCCCCTTCACCCTTGGGTCCCAGGACACTTCTCCACACCCTTCCCAGCCCTTTCCCCTGGAAAGCCAGACACAAAGCAAGAACCACGGCAGTGACAGTACCACAGGTCCCTGGGGAGGGGCCTGGGCCCCCCAGTACTTTCCCTGTGCAGCTGTGTCCTGAAGCCTGCCCTGCCCACCACTCACCCCGCCCACTTGCCCACTTTCCCGCAGTATAGACATATTGGAGCCTCTGGGCCTTGTGAGAAACAGGTGACATTTCTCTAGTCCAGAGGGAGGCAAGGGGCCACCCATGGCACTACCGAATCTGAACAAAGTGCAAGACTTTTCTGGCTCTTTAGGAGGCAGAAACTTCCCAGCGCTGGGATTATTGGTCCAATCACTGTAATGGGAATAAGGTCCTTCTCCCTCATACTTGCGTGGTTGTTTTTGTTTTTTGTTTTAAAACAGGGTCTCGCTATGTAGTTCAGGCTGGCTTTTTTCTTGTTTTTTTTTGGTACCGGGAATCGAACTCACAACCTTGTGCTTGCCAGGCAGGCGCTGTGCCGCTGAGCGATATCCCTGGCCCCAGACTGGCTTTAACCTCACTGTGTAGCCCAGGCTGACCTCAGACTGAGGCCGCTGCTTCAGGCTCCCGAGTGCTGGGATGACAGGCCCGCACCACCACGGCTGGCTGTGTTTATGTTCTTATGGAAAAATTCTGTCTCTCGTCTTTGTTGTGTCCCCATAACAAAGCACATGTACTTGTAACTCCACCCTACTTTTTATATGGATGCCTAAGCCCTGGATAGTACTGATCCCTATCAATACTGTTTTTCCTGTACATACATACACCCCCATGACAAAGCTCAGTATGTAAACTTGGCACAGTAAGAGATCAACAGCAATAGCTGCTACTAACAACATGCTGTGATAAAACGCATGCGAATGGTCAGTCTCCAAATGTCCTCCTGCTCGGTCCCCTCCTTCCCACTGAAGGAAGCAGGCACGGCTGCTCTGTGGCGCATCACCGTTGCCAATATCACCGCTTTTTCACTGCATCATGAAGTGAGATGAGGGTTATTTGAACACAGGCATGGAGACCCCATCACAGTGGATCTGAGTGACAGCTACGCAGTGGCAAATGACAACCCCACACACACTGCTTGGGTGCGCGGGACGAAGGGGCGATTCACCGCCCAGGGTGGTGGCCGCAGGGCAGTGCGAACTCCCTCCGTGCCGCTGCAGTCGGCACAGCATGCAGTTTTAGCCTTGTGACCTAGCTGGGCGTGGTGGTGCACAGCTGTCATCCCCAGAAATCTGGGAGGCTGAGACAGGAGGATTACAAGTTCCAGCCCAGCCTGGACAACTTAGTGACATGTGCCAGGATCTCTAAAAGGGGTCTGGAGACTTCAAGGAACAGAGTAAAGTAGGACAGAAAGATTGTAAAATGAGGCCTGAGGCTACAGCTCTGGTGTAGAGCGCTTGCCCAATACCTGGGAGGCCCTGGGCGCAGTCAGGCAGGATGTAAGGGTACAGTAAGTGCTGAAAACAGAGGACAGAGCAAAGGCAGACTTTCAAAGACTCTAAGAAATTTGGGCTTTCTCCTTGAGGCAACTGAAAAGCATTTAGCAAGGAAGTGAGCTGAGCTTTGCACCTGGTTTACCTGCCCCACACCTCTTCCTGTTCGTTGAGACAGGGTCTGGCTATGTGGCTCAGGCTTTGAACTGGAGGCGATCCTCCTGCCTCAGCCTCCCCAAGTTCAGGGATTACAGGTGTGTGCCCCCACACTCAGCCATGCCCCACACCTTAATTAGAAATTAACCTCTTTTGAAGTAGAGCCCTTGTTGACATTCTCATTTCATCTATCCATCAGAAAATGTCAAGGTCAGAGTGATGAGAGCAGCCAGCCTCGAGGCACTGGCCCATTAATGTCAGCATGCGGCCAGCTAGTGACACAGCAAGGCCCTGTCTCAAAAGTACAAACAAACAAAAAAGTGGCTACAGCCAGGTGTGGTGGTGCACACCTGTAAATCCCAACATGCAGGAGGGTCAGACAGAACGGCCTCAAGTTGAAAGCCAGCCCGGGGTACACAGTGAGTTCAAGGCCAGCTTTAGCTACACAGTGAGACCCTGTCTCAAGCCAAGCTACCAAACAAACCGGCTTGAGGAAGAAACTGAGCAGTCAAGTCCCTCTCCTCCCACCCGACCTGTACCTAGAAGAGCCCCTCCTTTTCTTCCCTAGAGACACAGTTCTCTCTCCTGGTTTATCTGTCCAGCAGAGTTTTGGATGGCCGGCGAATGGAAGGGGGCGAAACAAAGTTAGACCTGAGAGAAAGATGACTCTCAAAGATGAACATTTGTCTTTTGGGTGTGTGTGATTTTTTTTTGGGGGGGGGGCGTATGTGTGATTTTTTTGTGTTTTGTTTTGTTGGTCTTCTGAAACAGGGTTTTGCTATGTAATTTAGGCTGGCTTTGAACTCACTCTACAGCCCAGGCTGGCCTCGAAATTGTGGCCATCCTCCTGCCTCAGCCTCTGGACTGCTAGCATTACAGGCAGGCACCATTCGCTTCTTTAGGGAAGATCTCTCCAAATGGTGGGGGTTGGGGGTGCCTGTGGACCTCCAAATTGGATGGATCAAGGCGGGCGTCTTGAGCGGGGAAGTCGGCGATGGACGGGATGCGCGCCGTCTTGGGGTGTGGTGAGAGCCTTCCTCCAGGCGCGCTCGGAGATGAAGGGGCGGGCAGCGGTCCAGGAGATGGGACGTGTCCGGCTTTGGGATGACACAAGGGCCTCCACGGCTGCAGCGCCCGGACGGGACGCGCGTGCACCCGTACCGTGACCCGGAACAGCAGCCGGGTCCTCCGTGCCGGCGGCCCACGTGCCGGCGATGGCCACGTGGGCCGCGAGGGAACGCCTTCGCACAGGTTTGTCCGCGCCGCCGCGCCGTAGCCGGGAAGACCCGGAAGAGCGCCGGAGGGGAACCCGCGCCGGCTCCGTGCGG